CCCGGGCCGCCTTCCACATCGGCGGGACGCGGAGGGAAAAGCCAGGAAAACGTTGTTTCTGCCCGGTTTCGAACCGGGGACCTTTCGCGTGTGAGGCGAACGTGATAACCGCTACACTACAGAAACGGGGTGAAGGGGCCCTTTTCCACCATGTCTGCAAGAGGGGAACCCCCTCTTCCCCAGTGGGTGCTCCCAAGCACCCCACAGCCCTCGGCAAAATGCACCCCTCTCCCGTCTTGCTCCCCACACCCCAAAAACACTTGCTTTTACCCCATGTTCTCTTCCCAGCGCTGGGCGGCTCATGGAGCACCACCCCAAAACACGGAGCTGCTCCGCTAACTCCAAGGCCTTTGCACGCTCCGTCGCACCTTTGCCTCACGCTCAAAAGGCCCTCCGCTCAAATCCACGCACAAACAGCCTCATCTTTTTCCACAAAACACACAAAAAAACAAACCCCAGCCACTTGCTTCCGCTGCCCCAGCCAGAGGCGGCACGTGTGTGCCCTGATCAGGCATTTCACCGGATTTGGGGTGGGGTTGGGTTGGGTTCCTCCGTGATAAACCCCAAGCGAAAGAAAAGGGGTCGGTTCTGTTGCTGAATACGAACGCTCTTTGTGCAAGACTCACAGCGTTTCCGCGTGTATCGTGCGTGTCTTTCAAGTTGTCGGTCCAGGGGTGCATCGTGATATGGAAAATTGTGGTTTCCCTGGGCTGCGAGCCCTTTGCAGCCCTGCCGCCCTGCGCCTGGAGGCACCGTTTTGGTGAAGGGCGTGACTGGGAGACAAAGGCTCTAAAGGAGCTGCCCTAAAAGCGCCCGGGAAAGCCCAAAAGAGGTGTTTCTGCCTGGTTTCGAACCAGGGACCTTTCGCGTGTTAGGCGAACGTGATAACCGCTACACTACAGAAACGCGATGTAAGGGGTTTCGGGGTGACCCCGTTGTGACAGGATGGAGCCAGGTCTCCACTCCACCTTCTCCCAGCTCCTTTTATACCGAAATTCTCCTTAAATTTTCCATTAGCATTACAAAATTACCATTTTTTGTAGCCATCCACAGTCGGGGGATGAGGAAGAGTTTTTCTTTGGGAGAGGATGGGGAGCAGGGGGCCGCTGCCCACACCGACGTGCAGAGGAATCCTGCGGGACCCCCGAGGAGGAAAAAAAGCGATTTTTAAAGAACTTGTCTTTTTTCTATAGAGAAACTTTCCCTGACCGGGAATCGAACCCAGGCCACGGCGGTGAAAGCGCCGGATCCTAGCCACTAGACCACCAGGGAGAGCTGATACTATCACAAACAAATGTTTTTAATTAATTTAGCTAATTTTTAAAATTAATTTTATTATTTTTAAGTAATTTTCTTATTTTTTTAGTAATTCTGCGGCCGGAGCAAAGCAGCTCCTGTTGGGCTGATGCGAGGCAGCAACTCTGGGGGCTAAATGTGCCGAGATAAACGATGAGATTGGTAAAATTGAGGTGAATATCGGCTCCCTGGTGGTCTAGTGGCTAGGATTCGGCGCTTTCACCGCCGCGGCCCGGGTTCGATTCCCGGTCAGGGAACGACGAAGTGAGCCTTTTCCAAAATTAGGCTGGTTTTCTAAATTGCCTCCCATCTCTGCTGGCTTTCTGCCTTTCTCTAGAAAGAAACAGGCAATTCTCAAGCCATGGAAGATTAAAGCAATTGAGCTGTTTCTGTAAGAATAACATTCCTATGGTCTGGTGGGACTGAATTTGGGGAGCATGTACTCTGCTCCCCTTCCCTGGATCAGGGGCTGCTGGGGGACAGGGATGCTTGAAGGGATTCCTGCACATTCCTACCCAAAAAGGACGGTTTTCCCCAGCGCAGGGGACAGAAGCAGCGATGCATCCACGACGGGGTGAGACTCCAGGCTGCGCTGAACCCGCTGCCCGCTTGTCACCGTGTCCCCAGGGGAAATATTAGCACCCAGACTAAAATACATCCCCACCTGCAGCTTGTACCGTGAACAGATACTTTTGCAACCGCGGCCATTCCAGAGGTTGGAGGAATATTGATGGACAAAATTCATGAAAAGGAGTAAAAATGAAAATATTTAAGGCTGTTTCTGCCCGGTTTCGAACCGGAAACCTTTCGCGTGTGAGGCGAACGTGATAATCGCTACACTACAGAAACCCCCTGGCCCTTTTTGGGGGGCTCCCTCTGCCCTCCCTTGTATCCCATCCTTAACCCCCCCCCCCTTTGTACAACCAACACGCGTTGGAAAAAAGAGCTTTTCCACGGAATTCCCGCAGAACACCGCCTTCCTGCCGCTGGGAAGCCTTTGATAGCGTCTCATCCCCGTTTTTAATCGCAGGACCAAAAATGGCATAAATTAACATAAATGCCAAAATTGCATCGCAGGACCTGGGTGGGGGAGATTTTCCAGCCTTTCCAACAAATTTCTCTGCTGGGGGGTTTCGCCCCACTCCCGGCCCCAGCACGGGCAGGAGAGAGGGGCTGAAACCACCAGAATCCCGCACCCAAATGAGGACAGAAAGGGGCTCTGGAGCAGCCCGGCTAGCTCAGTCGGTAGAGCATGAGACTCTTAATCTCAGGGTCGTGGGTTCGAGCCCCACGTTGGGCGTTCAAACTTCTTTCGTTTTCACTTTTTTCCCCTTCCTCCTGGCAAAAATTTTAGGGCTGTTTCACGCAGGATGGAGCAAGGAGTCAGTCAGGGTGGCCTTCTCTTTCGCTGAAAGGAGGAAAACTGTCGTCTTATCTGTCGTCTTTCTCACCCTTTCCATCATTTGTCTCTGTTTTAAATTCTCCTTTAATCTCTAGTATTGCAGAGTGATCCCTACTTGCTCTCATCTCAAGCCCTAACACTGTTATTTATTACTGCTTTATGCAGTCTGAGCCGTGTGAACCTCTCCAGATTGGAACGGGGTGATAAATAGGAGCAAATCCAACCCCAGGTGAACAGCAGGGTGTTACCTGCCGTACCAAAACACTCTCAAAGTGCCTGATAAATCCCAGCAAATCCACATTCTTCAGTTTACAGCACAATGCTTCTAAACACAGAAAAAAAATATGCCATAACCTATTTTCTTATATTTAATGCCATAGATTGACAGAATCCCTTTTGATTTAGACCAAAGCCTTTTGCTCAACAACAGAGGATGCACCACGTGCAAGAGCTGGGCAAACAGTGCCGCACAGCAGACATGAAAACAAGTTGAGCTGCGGACTGGGAAAGTGTTACACCACGCTTCTCTCCAGAGTTGGCTGGACCAGGATACGCGTTGGAGGCATGCAAGGACCCAACCCTCCGGGACCTTCATCCACTTGCTCTTTGGCTCCGGCTGTCTGGAGGAGGTGAGCTTGGCTTCATGCTTGAGAAAATGTGGGTATCGTCTGTATTTGTGCTGTCAGCACCAGAACAGCTGCATAAACATTGTGTTTATGGTACAGGTGAAGCCAAAGGACTTGGAAATACCTTGAAGCAGTTAGGCAGGTTTCTTGGAATCATGTCGTAATTAAACATGTCATTACTTAAGGCCATAACCATGCAGCTTAAACCCTCCAGAAAAGACATCTGTCTGTGGACACCAGCCTCTGTGCTCTGTTATGAGCCATGTTTCTCAAGCACATGTGGTCCATGAGTTGTGTTGGTTCTTGGAGCGCTTCTTGTTGTATTAAGCAAGCATGGTTTTTTTAAAAAAAAAAAGGGTTTTCCCAAAAAAAAAAAGGGCTGGGGGGAGGAAAAAAAAAAAAAAAAAAGAAAAAAATCTTCCCTGACCGGGAATCGAACCCGGGCCGCGGCGGTGAGAGCGCCGAATCCTAACCACTAGACCACCAGGGAGGCTGCTTATGGCCCCCCCCACACCGCTGGATCGCAGGCAGCACCAATTATTGCATTTTTTTGCCCTCTTTCCCACTTATTTTCGGTCCTTTTCCTCTGTCCTCACTGCATCCTCCACCTCATCCCCGCTGCAGCTCAAGCAGAAAGGTCATCCCAGCAGCCAGCCCATGGCTTTCCTTTGGGGAACAGCAGCTTTCCTGGCCGTCCAGTGATCAGATTTATCCATATCCAGGCGATTCCTGGAAGGAAAGCACACCCCGCGGCACAGCACAACTCCCCTTGCTCATTACTGGGAACCAGTTTGGAGCTGCCCACCCTGGACGTGCTCTCCCTGGGGCGCACGGCCTCGCTGTTGCATGACGAGAAGCGCCGGCTGAGCTGCTCGTGCTGGGAATTCTCCTGCATGTGCAAACCAAACAAGCAGGGCTGTTCTCTGCATGCAAAAAAAAAATAATTGTGGGGCGTGCGGCAGCTTTCAGAAGGGTTTTGCATAGACCTGGGTGTGTGGAGGCCTGCGAGAACATCTTCAATCACCTCCTGCTACTTAGGGCCAAGCTCCTGAAATGCATTTTGGCTCCTAACTATGACTTAAGGACTTTTTCAGTCCTTAAACTCCTTCAGGAGTTTAAGCAGAAGCACCATGGCATGATGCAGGAGTGGTTATCGCTACCATAAGACCTTGCCCTGCCCAGCTGGGGATTTCGCAGAGGTTCCCACTCGCTGCCCTTGAAGTGCCAGGACAAAACAACCACAAGACCAGGCTGCAAAGGAGGCAATTTCTTATTCTCATTTCCATAGTTTGCATTCGGCAGCTGAGGCAAACAAAGCTTTTCAAGCGAGCAAAGGTGCATCCGTACAATCGGTTTGGATATCTGAAAACACTGACTCCATCCACTGGGAAATGCTCCCATGAGCACCCTCCATCGCTCCTGGGTTCCTCCTTACACCCCCAAATATCCATTAGGCAACGGCTCGGCCGGAGGCTGTTGCTCAACAAGAGGTTAAAGCCGACTCTGCCTTGGGAAAGACTTATTTCTCTAATCAAAATCTAGTGCCATCTAATCAATTTGGGCTCCCTCTGTAATCAGAGGAGAGAAATAAATACTCCTGCACGTGCTTGTCAAACCATTTCTAGGTGCGATAAACTACATTTGCCACCGTTCTCCGCTGACCCTGGAGGGACCGTAGCCTGAAGGGCTGCACATGGAGAAGTGACGCCTTACAATGTCCCAAGGTGTGGACATCACACAGCACTAAGCACCGACCCAACACAAACTCACACCGGGGACGCAGGTACTTTTGGTGATTTAAAGTACCCTTCCACCAGACCGGGTCTTGCCTATCTCGCCCTTGGATTAGATTATTACCACCTTGATCGCATAAAACTTGAAGCCATCATGGAGTCCTCCAGGCTTTTGCATCGTCGTCCACAGCATCTATGCTCAGTCGCGCAGCTGAAAGCTCGGTGAGCCAAGAAAAGGGTCCAGCGGGCAGCAGGGATGCATGATCAGTCGGAGAGGGTGGAGGGACAGAAACTGGGAACTGGCTCAGCGCATTTTCAGCTTGGTTCCATCCCTGTCCTCTGACAGAGAAGTTTTTGGAAGGGATTTATGGGCATGGATGCACCAGGGCAACATCGCCAGCAAAGCCACCCGATGACAGAGCAATGCAGTTTTTTGGGGGACAGCAAGGCAACCCCCCTCCTCTACAAGCTCTGAGCCAACCAATGCTTCTTGCTGACATAAATGATTGGAAAAAGAGAATTTTCCATCCCAGACAGCGCTTTCTTCATGCTCCCAAAGCCATCTCTGGGGTGGTGAGCCCCTGCGGTCTCCCCAGACCCCGGCGAGTGAGACTCGAGCAGATGCTGTCCCATGGGGGGGTCAGGGGGAGAGCGCGAACTGGCACCCCCTCCCCAGGCAGAGCAGGGGAAGGATTTTCTCCCCAGCAAAGGATGTTGGGGGGTAGGTGAAGATCGGTGCCTCGTTATTGGAGTCAAAAAACGCCACTCGCCCCGCCTCATAGTCCAGGTAAATCCCAATCACTTTGGGGGCAGCGAGCAGGGAGATGGGGATGGTAGGAGAGGTGAGAGCCTGGTACTGGCTCCCACACTGCCCCACCGCCCAGATCCCCACCTCGGGGTTGACGCTGATCCGTCCCTTCCTTCTCACCGACTCCTTGGCCACCCCGACAGCCCAGGCTTCCCCATCGCCCACCTCCACCTCCCAGTAATGCCTCCCCGTGCTGAAACCCTCGCAGCCCAGGACACAGCGAGACGAATCGAAACGCTTGGGGTTGTCAGGTACGGGCTGGCGGGTGTCTTCCCATCTCACGCGCTTGCGATCCTCGGATAGGACAAGCCGGGGATGCGCCGTCTCTGGATCCAGCGTCAAGCTTACTGGGGACAGAGAGAAGATGAGCATCACAGGCACAGCGCACTCCTCAAGGGCATTAGGGTCATGTTTTCCCCATCTTCCCCCAGTTTAACCTTGGGATGCTCCAGCTAGGAATGGTTTTATGCCCACAAGCAAGATCAGAAGAGCAGAAAAGACAGCTGCATGAAGGGAGCTTGGTCTAGAGTAAAAGTAAGGCTTTGAAGTGTGGATATTTTTGCCAGGAGTCTCCAGGCCATTGAAAAGAGGAAAGGAAGCCTCAGGTATCCCATGACTTTCCTTTTTTAAGTTCCCATGTGGAAATATTTGCAATTTTCACCTTTGGTCTCATTCAGAGAGGTGATTTCCAAAGGCGACGCTGACCCTACGTGAGGTCCCACAGCACCCCAACACTTACCATGATCCCCGAGCTCTGCCAGGAGGCAAACTCGCCCTCTCTCATGTAATCAGCTAGAGTAATTTCTTCTTGTTATGCTAACATGGCTACAGCTCTGCAGGGCATGTTGGAAGTATGTCTCCATTTCACCAGGACTTCTCCTACCTAGCTGAGATCTCCTTCCTTAGATCTGCTGCAGACAGACCCAGCACGACCTCAAACCCTCTCCTCCCCAGTTTCTCTGTACCTTGAAATTTCATCAGCATCTCTTTGAGGGCAATATTTTTCTGAGGAGGACCGGTGGGTTTCTCTCCCAGCTCAGGCGATGTCTCTGCTGCCTTCTGGACACCGTCCTTCTCAAGCCTGGAAAGAAGGAAGACCTTTCCAATAATACTTCCTTCACTCATAATTGTCATTATGCACTGACCGATTTTCAACTGGGATTTCTTATAAAGAGATAAGTAATAGTAGGACTAGAGCAAAGGCTTGGTCCAAGGGCACCCATTAATAACCTCCCAGAGAAGGGTTTGCAGGCCCAGAGTATGTATCTATTTTGTTCCCA